GAGCGCCGACCTTGAGTATATATACAGCGCGACGGCGCATGCGCTGTCAGCTGTCGAATGTTCTCGAAGGAGAAGCGCGCGCGCGGCACAGATGGCGACGGCGCGACGGCGCATGCGCTGTCAGCTGTCGAATGTTCTCGAAGGAGAAGCGCGCGTGGCACAGATGGTGGGCGACGGCGTGACGGCGCATGCGCGCGCGTCAGCTGTCGAATGTTCGAGAAGCGGTGCGGACGGCGCGGACGGCGCGGACGGCGCACTACAAGGCGCGAGTATAAGATGCTTCCGCATCTAAAATTCGTCAGCTTTCTGGTTCACCGTATGTCGATAGACAGGTTTAAATGTCCCCGCGTAAACATTATCTCCTCTTATGCGCTGATTGGTGACCTTGCTATCAACACAAAACTGAAACAAACGACACACAATATTTGAACATGCCCACGGCAACGAACATGACAAAGAGCTTAATTCGTTAATTGAAGCAAGCACATCGATATGCTTCAAAGAACCTGATCGTGGCCTGGTTGGTATTTGCGATGAGACATAATGCTTTGTGTGCGCGCATTTAGCGTCAGTGATACTTTAGCACTCCCGTAAGCCTTTTTTGTATTGCAACGTGAACTGTACACGGGTGCTAGTGCTTGGTTGGACTATCACTGGGAAAGTGAGCTTAAAGGTACACTAAAAAAAGTGATTTTTGTCTATTAGAAAAGTACGATTTTACCATAACGAAAACACTACTTTTACCACGACACGACACTTAGTAAGTGAGAAAACGTGTCAAGAGAAAATGCGGGTGGAGACGCCATCTTGAGCACCGCGATGAAGTAGGTTTTGAAGGTATCGCTAAGGCACCAAAAATATATTTTGAAATTAGTGACATCACGCACGGAGGTTTCAGCACGGAATTTAAAATTAAACTTAAACCTTAATTTTCTCACCTAAAATTGAACTTTTTGTACTAACACTCATGGCATTGGAGTTTTCAGAGAACAGTTTCGCAATCTAAACCAAGTCATTGTTTCCTCTAGGGTCCTTTTAAGTAAAGCATTGTCGTCCTGAGCGGCCACGCTCCTCAATACGATAAGAGACGTCCTGCAAGCTGCTCCGCAAGCCAAGAAGAGAAATAAACCTTGCTTTATTAAACCGGATTGTTATGTATAAAGTTCGGTTCTACTAAAGCACTCGGAGGCCTGCAGGTCATTCTACTGATGACCTTAGTCCCGTTGTTGTGGATGGGGTCTTGGTTGTCCGGATTCGAGTTGGGCAGCGGTACTTCCCAGTCGTCGTTTGGAACAAGAAAAACATTTAATCGATTACAGTCTGGCGACATATGCGAACACACATCGGCTGGTGACATAAAGGCAACGCTGTTGCCGGTAAATTCAACGTCATAAAACTATAATATGATTATCAGAGACGCCGTCGTGCAGGGCTTCGGAACTCTAGACCAACCGGGGCCCTGTAAAGTAGCCAAAAGCTACGTACACAGGCCTACAGCCTTTTCGCCTCGGTGGGCTGGTGAGGTAACGTCAAACCATTCCGTTGAACTGTTTTTTCTTCCAAGAAGTACTACAGATAGCGTGCATGATAGTGTTTCGCCTTCTTCTAACTTTCTTTTTTCGAAAAACTGGACTCCGTGATACGTAGGAAAATGCACTACGTGGAATGAGAGGCTCAAATCGAGTGATTATTGGCAAAGTATGTCCTGCTAACCCACCTTCGTAGCAACGTCGTAAGTGCCAACATCCGTATGCTTCCACGACCATGAGCTGTATAAGGTAAGAGTACGATGCTTCTCAGCAACTAGAAAACAGTCCGTGGAGAATAAACAGTACAAAGACAAATAAAGCAATGCTATCTACCGAGCCTTCAATGTCACGTTTTAACAAGAGACAGGCAAGACTCTCTTGGTCGTTAGAAAGATGCTTATCTTTAGGAAGAGCGTGACTTCTAGATCAGTGCTCTATCTGCAACCGGCGCGCAGAGACTGCTCAACCCATGCAGCGTTCTGTCACGCCGCGAAGCTTCAAGTGGCACGTAACAAAAGTTAAAATGACACGTGACATATTGTCTTCGGCAATGCAGTTCGAAGCGCAGTGCATCGTTTGTTCCAAAGCATCTGTCCATTTGCAGTGAAGATAAAAAGGAAGAATGAAGATCGTAAGGCAAAGATCTCGCACAAATCAACATCAAGTCACTAACAGAGTTCAGTGCCCCATTGAGGGCAGCAGAGGTAGAGTAGTAATAGGGACAGATCACGTGGGGCCTGTATAGGTGCACGTTTGTCTTGCAGGGTGTGTTTGCTTTGCTACGCAGCCATTCCGGTCATGACATCGACCTCCCACTTCGCCGATTCGGGAGACGGAACTTCGTAAACGCCGTAGACGCGAGCTCCGGGTGCTTCTGCTTTTCCGGATGGCTGTAAATCAGGCTAAGCGGCGGCTCTTCCGGAAGAAGGCTGCGTCATTGCCGCCTTCTTGCCAGAACTAACGGCCCAGAGACGTGATGTGGACTTCTGATCGTGGCTTCAAAGACGTAATGGCAGACAGGAGACTACGGCGAAAGGAAGACAATGAAGAGTAAAAAAAAAAAAAGAAAATTGTTCCATGAACCACCTTCCCCGAATGGCTGGAACTGCCGTGGCACTGGGCAACATTTATCTCTGAATGTAGCCAACGAATTGACTTGAACTTTGCAATGTAGAAAAACAAGGCGAGAGAAAGTGGAAAGGAAGAGGAAATGAAGAAAGATTATGGTGGAAAGCGAAAAGTTTTTGACGCGATATGTGTACGCAGACAAATTCTTACACGCACAACCACTGCAGTCACACTGCCTGCGCTCACATGTTCAAGGCCATAATCATTTATGCAGAACTCTTGATAAATAACTTGTGATTCCTCCAATGCCGTGCCGTGAGTCGAATAAAGAGTCCGCCGACCATATACGCGGCATGCTCAATTGAGGCTCCGCGCAGCATAACCGAGGTGTTGATGCGAACGATGAGTCAGATGTAGGGCCCGTGTACTTTCTTTATTACGAAAAAGAAAGCCTACTAGTTGCGCAGTAAAACGGCCGATACAGTGGTCGTACACCTAAGCCTAAGCGCTGTGGCTAAGCCATTTTGTTTTTAAATCACACAACCGACATAAAGCCACGAAAAACCATATATGAAAAATGTGCCAAGGGATGAACAACGAGCCACGAATAAAGCACCAGACAGCCCGTTCATATCATCTGAACTGGTTAAACGGTCACAAGCATTAATTACCAGTAGTCTGTGCGGTCTGCTACCACCAAGGCTTACCGTGAATCAGCAAATTAGGGAATTATGGTGTACGAGAAAGTTTAATGTCGAGCGCTAAACGACGGACATTCAGTGCTGCTACCACGTGGGTCCCTCCGTCACCCGATGTGCGGATTCGGCGTGCAATGGTTTCGTTAAGTACCGAATTCAACGGACATTTACTTTTATGAATAAATAAGCTGCCAATAGGGCAAGACAGTGGTGGGGTCACAGTTCTTTTGGGCACTCGCGAAACCTTTTACACACAAGCTCTTTCACAGGACGTTTTTGATAAAGATATATCGTTGTTAGTCGAATATGCCATAACAAGGCCCTCACTGGAATGCAACCCCTGATAACACGTATTTGAAGCTACAAGATAAAAAAAGGCGTATCGTAAAGCCTAGAATATGTGACATGTTGACACTATATGATTGGAAATGCTAACTTTACGCCTGCGGACTCGTGAGTCGTCTACCCCAGACTCTCTCGCACTCACGTCAAACCGTGAGGCGGAGTCTTGAGTGAGTCCCTCAATGCGATCTGTTGGTAAATTTGAGTTTGAGAGAGCCCGGTTAGGAAAAAAAAAGTTTGGTGAACGGTATTCCGAGTGAGTTCTGTAGTGGAAAACTTTGACGACTGTGAGTTTCAGTTAGCTTTCAGAGCACAGTGTGTTCCATAAGTGATTTTGAGCGAGTTCCAACGTTTTTGCCGACCTGCAAAAGCACAGACGTGTATTTGCAGTGATGCACATTTGCAGCAATGCATATACACATCGTTTTCTTATTGCTGTAACTCAAGAATTGCTGCCTGCACATTTGGTCAATTGTATGTTTGATGGAACGTAAGATATAACTTGCGAATACAAGAAAAAAAATAATGCTTTGCCAAGAGTGGCCTTGAGGGCTACCAAGCACGCTATCGATGCTTTGCAAGCTTACTCAAATGCTTTGTCGGGTATGTGGACTACCTTTCTATGACATACGAGTGAAAGGTGTCCATCAATCATCATCTTATCTGCAAATGTCCCCGCCATTATGAATAGCGGCTGCTACGTCACACCATGTTTCGTAACCAAAGTTCAAAACAATTGAAGACAACAACATTGCAGTACAGGCACGATAATATGTTCAATTGTCACCTGTATACACATTGGAAGCGTTCTTTAAATAGACAGACCTGAAAGAGCGAATGTAATGTACCACTTTCTGCCTTGAGGCAAAGAACACCCGTGGGTGTTTCTTTTTGCTTTCTTTCTCTTCAGTCCTGTCCCCGCCCCCTTTTCAACCATAAACTGAGCATGACCATGTCTTAAGAGCAGTGCAAGAATTGTCATGTGTGTCTCAGTTACCACAATAGTGAAGTACGAAGTGCTGTGCAATGATTACGTAACGTCTCACTCATAATATTTTAAACAAGCTAAGCAATCACGCGCTTGTGTGTCTGTAAAGAAGGATATTCTCTTATCAACTGAATATAGTGTACTTGTATGCTGCGAAAACGTTCGTTGACCCACCGTAAAGTTTAGGCAAATAATACATTTTATATTGCTTTGACGTTATGCCAAAAACAAATTAAGATCAAACTAAGCAGAAACGTATAAACAAAACGAGCAAACAAACAAAAAAGGAAACGCACCCGAAAAGCTCTTCTAAATACCAGAATCTAGAACTTCACGAAATACTTTCGCAACGCAGAAGGCTTAGGTAGGGCTTACCTGAAGAAGGCAACCTCATGACATGGAGTACGTTGTCCAATTTCCCAACTTTCGTGTCACAACGACGGTCGAAAATGTATGGCACCTTCCACGGCAACAGACGGGTTCACGGTCACAAACAATCGAAGCTTGCAACAAGACCCGGGGAACAAGCAGAGTCCGCAGGTACGACGTCGTAATGCTCGAAGATTCACATACGCGCACGCACACACTAACACAATATACGCAGGGGACGCATAAATGTGCTATTCAGCTCATATTGGAGACATAAGAAAATAATTAGATAGCGTCAGTTAATCTTTTAGCTACTAGTCTCACCGATTTCAACAAATGCGTTGATCTAAGCCAGGAACATGCCATAGGCGCAAATCCACGAGCTTGTCGAACCCGTAGAACGCGATAGTGTACCGGGTCGTTGCGGCATCTCAACTGCAAGGAAGTTTCCCCGCTTCAGTAAGGTGGGTAGGTACGTCAAGGCGGGAGAGAGAGAGTACGGGCGTGTGTTTGCTCACTACCTCTACCACGAGACGCCGGCGCGAAAAACTCGTAGAGCAGCGGTAAGAAGTCGAGAGGGCACGAGCGATACAGACGGAGGAGGGAACAGCCTGCCTTGACAGTTGGCATACGTAATGTGATTTAGAAAGCGAAGGCCGAACGGATGTCAAATCCGAAGGCAGAGGGGCGACCGGGAAGGCACCATGACGCTCCACCACCCGAAAGCAATCGCCAGCGAAGGCGTCGTCGTCCTGTTCACTTGGACGACGCAGAATTAGGCAACCACCATGCCAGTGGTGGTGGTGACGACGGCTGCGACGGGCGGCTCAAAAATACACGCGTCATGCGCGCATTGATGCCGACGCCCCTTTTTCTCACTCGCCGAGGATGGGATTTATGGAGACACGAGGAGAAGGGATTGTAGGTGTGGAAATAGACGACAGGAGTGAAGAGGAAGGTGGTGGTTGAGGGTAAGAAGCGGCGTGCCTTAGGAGCAGGAGGCGGGATACCTGCAGAAACTGTACAGGAAGAGGAGAGGGAGGGGAATACGAGATGGAAAAAGTGTGGAGTCTAGATGCGCGCAATCGGTGATGCAGCAGCGGACCGAATCAGCAGCTTCATCTGATGCAGCAGCAAGTGCGTACCTTATAGCTGGCAAGAGCGCGCGCCGGCGACACACGCCGGAAACAGCGCGAGAAGAGAGCAGAGTCCCGGCGGCGAGAAGAGGCACAGGCGATGCCGACGAGAGGTAGAAAATCGTAAACAAAAATTACACGACGAGAAATATTGCGAGAGATAAGAAAGCACTCGTAATGCCCCAGTTTTTTTTTCTTTGTTAGTTTTTCGTTCCGAAGGCAAAACGGACTACGTCCTTCGCGACGTCTCGCACACATGCTTTCTCCGTCTTGTAAAATAAAGTTCTCGCTCACCTTTCCGTCCTCATCGGCTTTAGGGGTGGTTCGGAGAAACGTACCTGTTGTACGCGCCATCTTACACTCAATAAATATGTACGCAGTTAAACGAAAGAAAACAATAAAGCCCACACACTGAACAAAAAAAAATGAAACGGAACTCTACAACAATACAAAAATCCCCATGAGAGGCATACGTAGACGTACAACGTGTGCACACCGCAGGAGAGTGGAGGGCAGGTAGATGGAGAGCTGAGTAAACACTTTTTTCCAGAAGCGAGAGTGACCATGCCGCTCGGTGCAGATCCGGTGTTTGGCGAACCCGCTTCCCGCGGACGTATGCAGGCTTTGAAGTGGCCGTCCGCTGGGCTTATGCGTCTGCAAGCAAAGTGATGCGGGCGAAGCAGCGAAACGGTTTCGCGAGGCATAGCGCGAGGCGTAGGCATGGAAAGGATGTCGCAGTTGATTTGCCCTAATTAATATGTGGTGTTTAACGTCCCAAAACCACCATATGATTATGAGAGACGCCCTAGTGAAGGGCTCCGGAAATTTATACCATCTGGGGTTCTTTAACGTGCACCCAAATCTGAGTACACGGGCCTACAACATTTCCGCCTCCATCGGAAATGCAGCCGCCGCAGCCGGGATTCGATCCCGCGACCTGCGGGTCAGCAGCCGAGTACCTTAGCCACTAGATCACCGCGGCAGGGCACAGTTGATTTGCCCTAATTAATGGCTACCCAAGCTCCAGTGGTGAAGATCATCGATATCACTTGTTATTCATTGGTATACATTTAAAAAAAAAGGTTGGTGTAGAGCAAGCACATTACTATCACTTGTTTGTTAGGTATGTATACTTTCCACGGTGCACGCACCCGAAATAGCCACACGTTGGCAACCGAAAAAAGAAAATGATTGGATTCATCTTTACTCACTCCATCATCAGAAAGAGAGTCTTATGCCACCACTTACATTTCGTCATCGAATAAAAGTTCGCGAACTTGTGCGAGCATGCATTCCGGCTATAGTTACACACGACTTGGAAGTGCATGTATGGTTTTGACGCTTTAATCGAAGTAGTGAACCTGCCTGGAGTTTTGGAACCGTAGCGGCGCCTTTTTCAGAGCTATTATTTACCAATATATTATCGGAAATCACGAAATATATTGAGAACGCACGCAACGATTTAACCAGGGTGTCCTGTATAATATGTCCGAAGCGCATCATTTGAACATTTGCCAAACAAGTGTGATGTTGTGAGCAATGTGATGCTGTGAGCAATCTAATCGATGCTAGTGAATTCGAATGTTACAACTTCTTGTAGATAAAAAAAAAAAACGGGGTCCTAGAACTTGCTTCCAGATCAGGCAGTTGACTCAAGACAAGTTCGCGACATATGCATGCTTTAGATCTTCTATTACATTTAATTTTTTTGGGCGTGCGTGTCCCCCCCCCCCTTTTTTTTAAACTTTTCTCTTCTCTCTCTTTCTTTCTTCCCTCATTTACTCTATGCCTCCCCTCTCCGAAGAAGCAGGCAGGCTTTGTGCCCCTATAGGTGGCCGTTCTCAGCCTGTTCTCTCCCTATTTCTTCTGTCTTCGTGTTATCTATGTACTCAAACCAAGTAAATAAATAATAAATTACATAGTCCTGAAATACATCGAATAACATTTAGAAAAAAAAATAATTGGCCCTGCTTAGCCAATCAATACAGTGTTCTATGGCTTAATTGATATTGTTTCAGTTCCAATTAAACAACATTAAACATAAAGCCCGAAATATTGCTATCTAGACGATGCTCTTGAAGTATTTCAACTTATAATAAATCTGAGAGAAGTAATTCCGGTAAAAAATGTAATAATCAGGCCCAAATATGTATACTGAAATTAGAAAACAGCGTATTCCATTCCAGCTCCATTTCCGCCTTTTACCTGTTTATCCCACCGCGCCCACAGCTCTTCTTCCCCCCCCGAGTGTTTACGCGTACTCGCTGAATGGCCAACGTTCGTTTCCGAGGTGTCTTCCGCAGACCGACCCGGCCTGTGCTCAGGAAACTACATAAGCAGCGAAAGTTCCGAGTGCGAGCTCGCACAGTTCGGAACATGAGGTGCAGGTTGGGAAACGAAACGGGCTTCTCCGGTATGTGTTGAAGAGCGCAGAAGTACGGGCCGAAGAAATAGGCCTACTCAGCGACGGTATGCATCGCACTGCCGAAAGAAGCCGGTGATCTCGACTGGTCGGGTCCCGCTGTTTTGCATAACGCAAGGACCAAGTGCCCCTCGGGGAGCCGTGGTCCGAGATGCGCGTTGCTGCTGAGATATTCAGTAGAATACACCTTTCAAAGCGGTATGCGTGAATGTGGAAGAGTGCGCGGCAAAGAGTGTTCTTGGCTCACTTGAAAAGAGGCCGAGTACGGACGGGCAGCGTGGACGTTTGTGTAAGTAGTAAGTTTGGGGGAGGAGTTGTAAAGAAAGGCTTGCTCAATGAAGAAAATAAACTACCTCAGGCTCGAGAAAAAATCCTGGGCCTAAATAAGGCTTGCTGCAGATTAAAGGCCACAAGCGTTTCGTTCGCAACTCGGAGAGAAGGCATCGTGTCGAAGAACATGAGCTCACAAGGAAGAACAGAGCTGAAGGCCATGCTGGAACCAGTGTGCTTCGTGGCTCTCTGTCGGATCTTCACTCTTCCCTTCTTTTTTCTGCCTTGCCGTTTCACTAGCGTCCCTTTATTTATTTTGAATAAATGATGTCACGCACGGCCCCATTATTCTCCACGTTAATTTTCCATATGTAAGTCAAGAGTAAAAACAAAGATACTTTAGGACTGTGTGACAAAATGCGTGGCTTTAGAAAACAACAAAACAGAATTAACACTTTCACTCTGTGAGACGCTTCTCGAGGAACCACCTGACGAGAAAATGATTGGGAACTTCGTAATTATATGTAATAATTATCATACATTATGGCTGCTTGCGAATTCTCGGCAACAATTCATTTGAAGTGCGAAAGCAACGCTGTAACATATCGCATGAGTTATTAAAAAAAAGCTGCAGCTACAGAACCAATTTTCGATTGGAATAAAAATAAATGAATAAAGGAGTTGTCACCATTGCTTGGTGATGGTTACCCTTTGCCACTTAGTTGTTAGTATATAACAGCTAAAAAGCAAGAGAGGAATGGTAAAGAAGGAAAGGCAGATATGTTAGCCAGACCAGGAAAGCCGGTTTGATGCCCTACTTAAGGAACAGGAATAATATATGCAAGTATATACAGAGCTTACCGAACATAAGCAGTTGCTCTAATATAGCCAACGCTCTTGGTTTCTGAACCTTTTTGTTGTACTTTGGCATCATTTTCCATAATGCACAATGCTAACGAACCCTGCTAGCAACTATTTTTTGTTCCTACACTACGTATTTCTACCATAATCACCTATGTTTTTTCCAAGTGGTCTGGCACTCACGACGTTCCCTTGATTTCTCCCAGTGACATTCTGTTATTACCTGCCGGTGGCAAGTTAGCTTTTCGCCCACTTTGTATCTTCTCTTATGCATTACAACTAATTTTAATATTATTACCTACACTTTCCCTGGCATTAGCGTCTGTTAGTTCTGATTATTGTTGTGTCTAACACACAAAAAAAGAACGAGCCCTTAATTTACATTTTGCGTCATGCGCAGGAAGTGTTATTCATAAAAATATATACGAAGATTTCCCGACGTGATAAAGCTTCGGCAACGCGCTTATAGAGCTTACCCCAGCTGACATTGGAGACACAAATGCTTGTACTAAAAACTGGAGGCTATGGAAAAATATTCTTTACAGAACCTCACGGGCTGACCAAACATTTCGAAATACATTTTCTGACTGAGGAATAAAGTGCCCTCACTCTAGTATTTCAGCAATTCATCGCGAGAGCTTAGAAGTCATGAAGCCGTGATTGAGGTATTACGTGATGTGCGAACCATGCTGTACCGCTTCCTTACTGAAAAACATATTATTTCTTTCTTTCTTTTCTTTTCTAGAGATAATATTCATGCAGTGTTTGAACATGCTATCTATGTGGTCGCGCGTTTACCAAGGGGTTATGTGTGTCCGACAGCAGGATTAATTGTTTAGTGCAAGGTATAATATACAAAGCAAGCACG